TTCCATTTTGTTCGATGACCTTTTGCCATCTCTCCGACAACTTGAAAATTCCACGCTCGTAGAAAGTCTGATCCTTTTCGGCCAAAAACTGAGTTAAGTGAGATTTTACAGCATCATCGTTAAAAGTTTTACCACGAAGGGAGTTGTTCAGGGATCGAAATAAGTGGTAATCCGATGGCGCGAGATCAGGGCTATATGGTGGGTGTAACATCGATTCCCAACCAATATCCATCAATTTTTGCCGAGTGGACAAAGACGTGCGCGGCCTAGCATTGTCCTGCTGGAAAATGACACCTTCACGATTGACCAATTCTGCTCGCTTTTCCTTGACCGCTGCATTCAATTTGTCCAGTTGCTAACATTCACGGATAATAAAAAGTAACGTAATAATAATAAGAATAATAATTTTATAATATAACATTTACGGATATCATAAAAATGGGAGTGAGAGACATCTATAACTGAAATCGGCAATTACTTAGTTGCCAAGCCAATAAAATGAAAATACTATAAGTCAGAAAAATTATTTTAGATTCACAGTTAAAATAGCTTCGAGTGCAAAAGGTTAAAGGGAGAATTTGCTGTAATTATCTGAAATTAGCTTGGGCGTGCCTTCGATTGGCCAGGTGCTTCCGACCTCTCCGATGAATCCTGTTTTCACATCGGGACTGTCCAAGCAACCGGTGGTCATCTCTTTCAACGTCACGTTATACATCTCCTCTTTGGTCAGAGCGAGATCGCTCGCGCCTTGGGTGGCGGCAACATAGTAACCTTAATTAACAGTGAAACGCAATGGATCGTTCATGATCATCGAAGCGAAACGGCCACGCGAATACAGCGAATATTTTTCATATTTTTTTTTTTCATTTATATAAAACGACCGGCACCTGTCCCAGCAACAACATGTACTCCGGTTCCTTCGCTCACTTTCTTCATGAAGGAAATGTCGCGCTTCAAACCGTAATTGCTGTTCTCCACGATAGTGCCACCGCCAAACTCATGATAAAGTTGCACGTCCGCCATTACGGCGTTCATCGTGGCCGCATCATTGAAGTTTATGTTGTACCTGCTGCTGTAACTGCAAATAAAAATATCATTATATATTATTATATATATCACTATATATTATTATGTATTACATTATTATATATTGTATTATTATATGTATATTATATATTATTACATATTATATTATTATACATATATATATATATATATATTATATTATATTATATTATATTATCACTATATATTATTATATGTTATTATCATATATTAATTAAATATTAACACAGTTAAAACTAGCATTATTACATAGACTAAGAATTTCGTATAACTTTATCACCATCCCAGCGCAAATTCTTTTAGCGAGATTGTTCAATGATTTTTTTTAATTGAACATATAAACCCGCACAATCGTCGCGTCGTAATTGTACGGTAACGCTGAATAATCTCGAACGAGATTGAAATAGCTTGAAACACAATACCACACATAATCCTTTTATCAGAAAATCCGTAAAAGCTGCTTGTATTTATCATTTTTTAAGTATTATTTTAATATCGCATACTCGTAGAGTGGTTGTATATTTAATTCAAGAGGTTCGCTCAGGGATGACGATAGGAAGGGCGTGAAATTGATATTGCACTCACGGATACTGTCTCAATACACCAAGGTTCTCAATCTCGATTTTATCGTCGAGGAAGCGCCTCAATTGACGCGGAGGTGGAACGTAGAATGCGTCGAAGGTCATGGCCAGGTGCTCGTGGGTGAGAATCCTACCAAGCACGTTCGCATTTTTTCCTCCGAGCACTGGGCATACAAATTGCGTTCCATAAATTAATGGGAATAGCCAATTATGTCTGAACTGCGGAGATTCGCGGCGATGCGCGAACCAATGTGACGCGTATTAACATAATTGAATAACACTTGGGTGTACAGTAAATTCACCTCAATTGTTCTTCAGCTTGTAGACAAAAATAACTATAAAAAAACAATATCTTTAATTATTTAAAGATTAACTGTAAAATATAAGTATAGAATATACTTAACTACCTCCTCCCCCAAGGAGAGGGGCGAAGTATAAATATATATTAACTATATAATATGACTACAAAAATTGACTATGAAAACGGTATCGTTAATCATTTAAAGATTAACTGTAAAATATAAGTATAAAATATTTATACTACCCCCTACGCCAAGGAGAGGGGCGAAGTATAAATATATATTAACTATATAATATGACTACAAAAATTGACTATGAAAACGGTATCGTTAATCATTTAAAGATTAACTGTAAAATATAAGTATAAAATATTTATACTACCACCTCCCCCAAGGAGAGGGGCGAAGTATAAATATATATCAACTATATAATATGACTATAAAGATTGACTATGAAAACGATACCTTTAATTATTTAAAGATTAACTGTAAAATATAAGTATAAAATACTTATACTACCCCCTACGCCAAGGAGAGGGGCGAAGTATAAATATATATCAACTATATAATATGACTATAAAGATTGACTATAAAAACGGTATCTTTAATTATTTAAAGATTAACTATAAAATATAAGTATAAAATACTTATACTACCCCCTACGCCAAGGAGAGGGACGAAATATAAATATATATTAACTATATAATATGACTACAAAGATTGACTATGAAAACGGTATCTTTAATCATTTAAAGATTAACTGTAAAATATAAGTATAAAATATTTATACTACCCCCTACGCCAAGGAGAGGGACGAAATATAAATATATATTAACTATATAATATGACTTTGAAGATTAACTATGAAAACGGTATCGTTAATCATTTAAAGATTAACTGTAAAATATAAGTATAAAATACTTATACTACCCCCTACCCCAAGGAGAGGGGCGAAGTATAAATATATAT